ATAAACGCTGAAACCTCAGCTGAAATCGGTCACTTGTCCACAGAATTAGTATTTTCTGTACAGTGAATGGCACGTTGTGCACTATATAGGGGCCCGGGAACGATTCAAACAGTGTAAATATGCTTTCCATTGAGGAAAACAAGAGGACTGGTTTCGCGCTGTCACACTAACCACACACACACACACACACAGAGTGCACACACACTCTGCTCCGGTCCAGAGACACGATAGCACGGAGTGGATCACATGCGTGAGTCGGCGCAGACCACAAAATGTATCGGAGCTATTTGAATTCTACACAGAATGCTTTATTTTATTGCACTATGGATGAGATTGTGGCTGGCATACCCTGTCAAATGCGGCTTTACAGAGCTCAACGGCTCTAACCCAAGCTGTGATATAAACGAACACTATTGGCTATTTTAAAAGGGGGTGGGGCTGCTTGATATGTCCCGCCCTGTCTTCCTGTTTCAGTTAAAATGACGTCAACACAGAGTAACGCTGCGTGTTTCTAAGCATTTCAGGGGACCTTTAACACACAGTGATGCCGTCTCCCGGCAAGGGCGAGACAAAACCAATAAAACCCATTACAAACGAGGCATTTGTTGCATCCAGTGGGGACATAATTACTGATTATAATGACTTGTACTGTGTTTTTACGCGTTGCGTATCGCACCGCGTAAACATAAAACCATGTCTGCATTTGTGATCGGAGAAACGACAAACAAGCGCTACTCGTGTTTGAATCATCAGTGGCTGGACTCCGCTTCGTCCGCGGTGAAAGCCGATCCGGCGATCCACAGCGCAAAGTTGATGTATTTCCTCAGCGACCAGCACGGATCAGCTCTAGGCATGACGAAGTGGATATCGTCCTCTTTTAGAAGACCAAACAAAGTAGTTTCGCTTTCACACCGAAACACACAGCATCTCCACAACATGGCGCCGGCGGCAACAACAATACTACAGCGAGAATAAAAGTTACGCCTTCTTTCTTTGCGTGAACATTTGGGCGGCGTTATGCAAACAAATGCTGATCTTTCTATTCATCAAAGAATCCTGAAAAAATGTTACTGTTTTAAATATTGATAATCAGCAAATCAGCAAATCAGCATATAATGATTTCTGAAGGATCATGTGACACTGAAGACTGGAGTAATGATGCTGAAAATTCAGCTATGTATGATCACAGGAATAAATTAAATTTTAAAATCTATTCAAAT